TGTGTGTGTGTGTGTGTGTGTGTGTGTACCTACTTAACCATATTTTGGGGACAAATTTGTACCCAAAAGTGAACAAAGCCTGACAAAAATGGCAAAAACCTCAATTTGTGGATGTCCTCATTTGTAAAACCGTTATGGGTGGGTTTAGGTTAAAAAGTGTATAACTATCTATATATAAAAACAATAGAAGTCTATGTAATGTCCCCATTTAGATAGCTAAGTAAATGTGTGTGTGTGTGTGTGTGTGTACTGGTTTATATATCCTTGTGGGGACTTAAACCTGACTGCACACAGACTCATGGGGACCCGTGTCACGGTGGGGACCTAAATTGTGGTCCCCACGGGTACAAAAGCTTATAAATCATACAGAATTAAGTTTTTTGAAAATCTAAAAATGCACAAAGTTCCCTGTGAGGGGTAGGGTTGGTGTAGGGCAATAGAATATACGGTCTGTACAGTAGAAAAACCATTACGCCTATGGAGAGTCCCCACAAGGATAGCTGACCAGACAAAAATTTACTAGCCAATGGCGATTATATTGCCAAGGTGTGCGTAGAGGGTTGGTAGGTGACGTCACTTTTAAAATTTGCCTGTCAGAGATACTATTTTAGGGTCAGGGACCATCTGTTAATGGCATCAACGGTGTAAACTGTAATTCCCCTTACATTTGTTAAGTTGCATTATACTGTTATTTTGTTTCTATTTAATATGTAATTTGAACAGCAGATTTTCCTCGATAACTTGATGCAGGACGGAGGCTGTATGCCAGTATTGTGATAAAGCATGAAACACTGACAACTACATAAATGTGCCTTTACATTAAATGTTCTGAATGTTTCTTCAGAAGTCCTTTCAGATCCTAATAACGGTAATCATCATAAATTAATCTTCAGTCAAGACTAACATTATATGATTCCAATTGACTTATGACTGTAAGCCTCTTCTACGAGATGGTCCTCACTGCAGAACACAAGATCCAGGGGGCGTGGTTGGATCCAGATCCAACTCCTCTCACCGTACATATACCTAAACCCATCCATCTCCACCCCTAAACCTATATACCAATCTCCACCCCCTAGATGTGGATCCAACCACGCCCCCTGGAGCTTGTGTTCTGCAGTGAGGGGCTACTGTCTTCTGCTGTCATTTTCAGAACCCTACTCTGGACCAGTGTTTGTTCGCAGATTCACTTGTGACTGTGTCAGATTCGAGCCGGGAGCTGGGAGACTTCTCTGTGAGTGTCACCAAGGCGAGCTACAATGAGGAGCTATGTTATCTGCTCCATGCCAACAGTCATGGAATGACGGATGACATTCCTTGTGGTACATCAATTGTAGGTGAGTTTACATTATATAAGGACTATTTCATCCTTGTAAACAGTTGATGTATGATGGTAGATGGTTTATTATTCTTTCATGTGACTGATGCACTTTTTTGCTTTAGAGAGCACTTGGGTGCAATAAGCAGATGATTGGGGAAGAGTTAGTCGATATCTTTGGGATTGAAAGGACTGTGTCCTCTCCAAAGGACTCCTCAGGAACTTGGCATTGCTATTTCTTGCCTGATGGGTAGAATACTCTCTTCATTTTTTTGCTAGAAAGCAAAACTTATCTTATCTGTTTCTCATATCGGTGTGTCTACACTGGACGCGAGTGGCATTACGCGACTAAAGACAATAAAACCTACACTGTAAAAAAAAAAAGTAACATATATGGTAAAATACTGGCAGCTGTGGTAGCCAGAACCTCACCATAAAAAAATATGGTGGCAACATTTTAGGTTTTACATACTTAACTTAAATTCACAATAAAAAAATTTCATTAACTGATGTAATGGTAATATACCAACCTATTGAAGTACTAATATCTGTTTTGAACCATTGTAATACACTGATAACCACCAAAAACAGTTGGTGATGAGAAAGTCACATGATGAACCGAAGCTCATCACAAACAGCTTTTCCACAAGCGGAGGAGGGAAATAGTAAGATGCACAGAGTGTCATTCACACAAATACTAAACACCACCATGGTAACACACGATACTGAAATAATGCAATAAACATTAATTTTACAACATTAGATGTAAGATAAAACCCTAATGTACACAACTGAGAAGAAAAAAAACTAAGACAGTTATAGTTATTTGAAAAAAAAACATCAAATATGAAGTGTCATGCAGGGAATTCTGGTAGTGTTAATTTACGTTTTTTCACTGTCAATTATACAATGATTTTTTTCTTTTTCACGTCCAAAAACCGTAATTTTAACAGTATTTTACTGTAAAATTACATTAAATGTAATTACAGTTATTCACCATATATAGTATGGAAACTTACTGTTAAACAATAAACAGGTTTTTACAGTAGCATTTTTACAGTCTTTTTCTGTTCAAATCACGATAATGTTTTACAGTGTATCATAAACAGTGATTCTGTCTACACTACATGTGGTGTGACGCGAGCAACAAATCTCTGACAGTAAAATGATGACTCATTGTTTTTATGACATACTGACACAAAGGACAAATGACACAGCATAAATGTGGTTGATAGGTTGATGGTAGATTGTGATTAATATCTTGCAAACAAAACCAATGCTGCCATATGGTATATATAAAAAGTTGATTTTTGTTTTATTTTCTACTTGATGTTTGATTGCTTTATTACAAGCACCTATATGAAAAAAATAAACAAATAAAAAATATTTTTTTAAAAAACAACAACAACAGAGTTTTGAACTTTTCCTAAAATATTTTACACTTAGGCATCTAGCAAGCAGAATGCACTTGGGCTCACCTGCGATTATGAAGCTCCAGCATTTGCCTTTCTTGCTTGATGGAGGTTTGAAGACTTCATCACTTTACAGTCTGTGCCTTTGTGACCAGAATTAATCTTTACAGTCAAAAATAAAGTAAAAGTAAAATGATTTTGCTTTTATTTTCAGTGGAGAAAGACCAGATTCCTGTGTTTGAGACAGAGCGTTTTGATTGGACGAACATTTCTTGATCCTACGCCTTCCACAGAATATATAAATACAGACAAATACATTTAGACCACTTAACTTAATGATTGCTATCAGGATGTGAAGAGACTTTCAACCAGCTTAACAAAAAATGTTTCTGAAGACAATCACCTATTGCACCTTTAATTTATTCATAAAGACCTCTTCATGGTTATTAAAATACACTGTGGGTTCCAAAAGTTCATGCAGCCCACGTTGAAACTCTGAGACTCAATATCTAATTTCTACCTGGAAATCTTTTTTTTTTTTTTAGAACTTCTAAGAATTTCAATCAAAGGACCACATAAAATAAAGGTCCCTCAACAAATATGCAAATGTGTGACTCATTTTCACTCACACAGGAAGAACTCAAAGCAGACTACTCCTACATCAGACTTCACCCTGAGCTAAAGGCTTTATTGGGGGACTTCCTGCTATTTCTGCTGTTGAGGAAACCTCAGGATGTTTTCTCATTTGCTCATGACTTCTTTGCGCCCTTTGTCTCTCAAAGTACTCCAGGAAAATCCCTTAAAGACTCTCAAAACTTTCCACAGGAATAACAAACACTAACCAATTACTAATGTATTGAAAATAAAGGTTTTCTTCTAATAGTGCCTTGGTATAATGATTTTATGCTCTGTTTTTGTATGTGCTGTAATAGTATTGGGTTCCTCTTGATTATTTGAGTGAGACCGTCATTTATAGACCTTTGCAGTCATAAAGAAATATTGCACTGAATATACTTAAAACAGTCAACTTTCTTGTGTGATATAAAATAAATATTAAAGCCTCAACTTTTTATATAACAATTTTTTTAATGATTTATAGGAAATATTTTACACATTAAATATACTTAAAGATATACACATTTATATTTTTCTTCAATCAAAACTGTCTGAAAAAAAATTAAAGTATTTCTTACTGCTGTTCAGAATTCAGTAATTCGAGAGTAACCCCCACAAATATTATATAACACATTTGTGAACACATCCTTATGTCCACTTCCTGTTGAAATTGAAAAGCTAGAGCTGAAACAGAAAGCAAGACGCGTTGGAAACGCAGTGTCTTTAGCATGTCGGTCGCACTCTCTTGATTTTGTTTCTACGACAGTTACGATTTTATTTCAGTTGGATGTTGTAAATATAGAGGTAAGATGCGCATTAAGTTGAGTATTTTAGTTGATTGTTCGGGTTAACTTTCAAGACTGTTTGTCATAACCTAGTCCGGGGTTAGTTTGTCATCACAGTTACATTGTAGCATTCGACTCGCTGAACAAAAACTGTATTTAGTGATAACAAACCTTTTAAAGCAGTGGCAGTCGTGTCTTGAAGTGTGATATTATACACAACTAAACATATTTAGTAGCTATACATTTTATACATTCCGTTTATTGGCTAGAATAGTAGTTTTAAAAACTATCGGAGGATTTAAAATACGTGAATACGTTAAACAAATAACTAAAACCGGTCAAAAATGTACACTTTGACCTGGGCTAGTTGTCATATGGGAACGTTGTCACAAAGCCAGTGTTGGGGAAAGTTACTTCTAAAAGTAATGCATTACAATATTGCGTTACTCCATAAAAAGTAACTAATTTAGTTACTTAGTTACTTCATGTGGAAAGTAATGCGTTACGTTACTTTTCAAATGTGGACAGGGCTTGCTTGTTTGTTTTTAACATAAAAAATATATTTTTGGCAAATATAAAAGCCTTTTCACACCAAAAGTGAAATGAATAAGCCTCAGGCTGAAGGAAAAGTAAATTTAAGTCCATACAGTAGAATGCAGAAGAAGAAATTTCAACACACTTCAGCAATAAAAAAAGACACACAAATGTTTGTCTAGAGTAATTTGTGCTTATTAGTATGGTTGAACTGGATCATTGAAGGTCAGAAGCAAAGACATTGGTTAATAGTATGGGATTAAATACATAAAGGATATTTGTGTTGTTTAACATTTAATTATTGCAGGTTTGCATCATATTCTGAGTTGCATTATTTTTTAGAACTACAGTAACATCTTGTGATTTCTCTCAACATGGGGACAGGAGAGCTGTCAATCAATAAATTTGAAAAAAAAA